CTCCCTGTGCCCTCTCTGCATGCTGGTGGTGGCTGTCCTGCCAGATGGTCACACACCAGGTGACAAATGGCCCTGTGGACTGGAGAGTGATGGGACTGGCTGGTGATGGCACCGTGCAGGGGTTTGGCTGCAGGACCACCATCCCACCCAGAGGATCATCACCTCTCCGACCAGCTCAAGACCACCCTGTCTCACCCATCAGCGTCCCCATGTCCAGGGCCAGCTGCCTCTTCTCTGTGCCACCCCGGACACCACTGCCACCACCCAGTCAGCGCTCACAGCCTCCTTTTCCAGGCTGCCCTCCTCTCCCAGCTTGCTGTCACTGCTGCTGAGATGGTGGACGATTGATCTGAGAAATGAAGTTGGATTGCTGTCCCGAATCTACACTGGGTTCTCCTTGTGTGTGTCTGATCGATTTCCCCCTGTGCGACACAGCTTGTCGCTACGAATTTTCATGCTAGTCAGAACCCGCCAGCGCACCCAAGAACAAGGAGAAGATGCTCCAGAGACCGCCCTCCCCCTCTCATCCTCCCCCAGCCCGCTTGGGCGAGGTTTTCTTGGGTTGACGTTGGTTGGCTTTGTGGGTATTTTTCCTCCTTTTATTCGCAACCGCCATCGCCGCCAACCCCGCCTCGCCGCCGCGCTCTCGGGCCCTGGCCAAGGATGGGTTATTTTTAACCACCCGGGATGGTGCCACCAGGATGGAGCTGGGGCGTTTGCGGTGACAGTCCCCACCATGGTTACGGGAGGTGTCACCTGTTTAGCAGCTCCTCTGGGCCGAGCGCGTGTGGCCGCAGGTGCCGGGCGAACGCTGATGGGCTGTGACAGTCCGAGACGCCAGCTGCCTGCACGCAGCCTGCCCCGGCTTTGCCACTTTTTTTGTGGGCAAAGCTCCGCCGCTGGCGTGACCGATACTGAGGCAATAAACTAGGTGACCGTAAAAGCAAAGACAAGTCCTACTAAGTGGCATTCTGAGCCCTATGGCTTTGAAATAATTGGTAGTGAGAGAAGAGAAATGAAAAAAAAACCCAACCCAAAAGACCAGAACAACCCAAGCCTGTTTTTTTTCCTTACACTGATGCCCTGCGGACTATACATCTGACTTGCCGCGAGTCCGTCACTGTATCCTCCTGTCTGGCTGATAACATGGCGAAGGGTATCCACCTAAACAGACCAACAACAACAAAGACACAAATTAGAGGGAAGGAAAGGTTAGTGGCCAAAGCTGCTTCCGTTCATCTTTGGCAAGATAAAAGCAAACAAACAGGAATAACAACGATCACGGTCATCATCGTAATAAAAATGAAGGTGTACATTCGAAGAGGGACCAAAGAGAGCCGCAGTTGGTCTTGTGGAGAGAAATGAGCCAGAGGACCTCTTCTGTCTCCCTCACCATCCCCTGCCCGCCCCAGCAGCCCTGTGACCCTCTCCTTGGTCCCATGTCCTTTGACAAAAAGCGTGGGGAGGGAGAACAGCATGACCAGTGTGGGGTGGCATCTCCTGGAGCACATCGCTGCAGCCATCTCCACCACCGTGCTCAAGGACCCACCTTCCTACCCCTACCCCTTCCACCCCTGACCCCAAGCACTGCTCACGGCAGCAGAAGGAGATCTTTGGAGCTGCCTGAGCGCCTCCACTGTGGAGGGCCCAGAAAGGGAATATACCTACCATGGCAAAGGCACCAGCAGCTCTCCTCTGGGTGCCCCGTTCCTCTCCCTCACACCCCCAGCCCAGCCCCAGCAGTGGCACATGTGGTGAGCACGTCTCACCACCCATGGATGATGGGTGCTCCACGTCCAGCCCCACGGGGGAGCAGCCTCAGCTTTAGAGAGTTCTCCTTGCCCAATGCAGAAGTGTCAGAGTGGCTGTCGTCTCTCAGCACAGAACAGAGCCTTAGATGCCAGAGAGGGGACTCGTGGCACATCTGGACATCGGAAGGGAGGTGCGGGATCTGAATGAGATCCTGGCTATTTTAAATTCTTTCTTTTTGCCCCAAGCATGGGTTGATGTTTCAGCACTGCTGCTCAAAGCTCCCTTGCTCTCTCCTCCTGGTATGTACAGGGGTGGTGTGAGTGCTTGTGCTTTGGGGAGGTGGGGAAATGGTCAAGGGTGGCTTTTAATTGTAAAAAAATAAATTAAAAAAATTATCTACATATTTGAACATTTATTGCCTTTCAGCAGACACCTAGTTTGGCATCAAAGGAGTAAGTGGAAGTCTTGGAAAACGAGACACCAGTCCAAACATCTGGCCCATTCCCTTGGACGAATAAAGCAAGCAGAACCTAAACCTGGGCTGCTTTTGTTTGGTTTTGTGCCTACTCTTCTACACCTTCTCTCCTCCTAGTACGACTATCAAGCCAGAGCCAAATGCATTCACAAAGTGTGGGCAAGTCTCCTCAAGACCATGGTTGTTGGTTTGGTTGGGTGTTTGGTTTTGGTTTCTTTTGGATTGTTTTTTGGTTTGGTTTTTTTGGTTTTTTCTTTTGGTGGTTGTTCCTGTTGCCTTTTTTTTTTTTTTTGGTTGGTTGGTTGGTTTTTTGGTTTGGTTTGCCTTTTTTTTAAAGTGTTGGTTGGTTGATTTGTGCTGGTTGAGATTTGCTCTTTTCAGACGGGAGGGAGAAGTGCCAATACAATCAAAGGCTCCTCCAACACTAATGCATTCACTGGCAGTACATCGGATGGGTCCCTACCTGTGACTGCACGTTGGCTCCAACCTGGGCCCCTTGGTAAGAATCCCCATTGAGAGACTGCACGCTCATGAACAAATCTCCAGAGTTTGACATGTTAAAAGAACTGGAAGAACCTGGAAAGGAAAGAGTGAGGCACCTGAATCACAGAAAGGAAAAAGATCCACCCCATGACTCTCAGCCAAGAGGAAGGAACAACATGCAAAGCAACCACAAAAACAAAAACACACAGTCAGGTTAGTAGTATGAAGAACAGAGCAAGCAAAAAAAAAAGGATGCACTCTTGAGGTTATTCAAAGCCACATGTTGTTACAGCTCAATGCCAAGAACATTCTTCAACAGCTCCTCAGCTGGAGGAAGGATTCTTCATGCTTTTGACTGAGATAAACAAAACACAGCCTGGAGGACTCAGACAGCATCAGAATCCTTCAAATAGCTCTGAAAGACCTCAGTTGTTGGGGGTGTCCACCCAGCAGACTGCACTGGAGACCAGAATTACCCAGACAAGCCCTGTATTATCAAGAGCAGAAGCCTTTGCAGCAGGTGAACCAAGCCCATGCTGAGAAGCTCAGACAGGGTGGGTAATTCTAGCCCGTACTGCTCCCTGCAGGGTGAGACATCCAGAGCCCACCCAGCCCCACGGCTGGAGCTTTGGCTGAGCCACGTGGGGCTTGCCTTCCAGGAACCCATCACTGGTGCGAACTGCAGAGCACCAGGAGCAAAGGCTCACAAAAATATGAAGGCACCTGGGTTAGACTCCCAGTGCCCATCACGCTGGCAAAAGTCTTTCATTGTGATGGCCCGTGAGAGAACACAAGGGTGTCACAGCCCTCCTGGGCCAGCTGCCCCAGAGGAACAAGCTTTGTAAGCAAATTCCCCACTGCATGTACCAGTCGTCGGTGTTACGCTAAAAAATTGTAACAGTGAAGACAACTGGGTGGGATCAGGAGAAAAAAAATCACAAATGAAAAGAAAAAATAAATCCCGCCTCTGCAAAAATAAGTTTTATGCCTCCAGCTTTGAGAGATATCTGAGCACCTCCTCAACCACTTAACAGAAGAAACAAACCCATCATGTAACTGTAAGGCAGGGAAGGCAGCAAAGGGGTTAAAAATAAATAAAAAGGTTTTATGGGATTACTTCAGAATTTATCGTGCAGATCAGCGCGTTAAGTGTGAGACAGCTCAACGTGCAAGGTTTAGTTATACATGACGTTAGCCTTGGAAAGGAGAGACTTCAGGGGCCCAGGTCAGCTATGCTTTCAGCTCCAGTCCCAAATACACTCTCATCATCTACACTGCCATTTCCAACTTGGAAGACTGGCAACCACAGTCCTGGTGGAATTGCCCAACTATGGCTCTGAGAAATGCTTGGCAATCCCCCTCCCTTTTCTGGACAGGGAAGAAACAGGGACAGACAGATCCCAGCTGCACCCTGGAGGTGGACCAGGAAGGCTCCTCTGAAGGAAGCCACCTCTGACAGAGGTCAGGGAGCAGGTGGGAGGTGTGTCCTGGAGACTTCACGTTCACTACATTCTCTGCTGCTCTCTTAGTGACCAGCTCTTTTGTCAGGGGCTGGCAGTTCTCAGAATCCAAGGAGAGCACAAACATCACTGCTAGATACAACACCCAAGACAGTCAAAAGACTCATCTTGAGCACACTGAGTCTTGGATCAGGACCCTCCCACTGGTGCTCTGTGAAGCCAGGAATAGCTCATTGTCTGTGCTCACTGTCAACCTGCCCAGCCTGTTCCAGAGAGCAATCCCACAGCGCTGCGTAAAATACCCGGGACTGGTCAGGAGGCAGCTGTAACCATCACCTCCTCTGCTCAGCTGGCAAAGGGCTCCTGTCACTTCCCGACCTCTCAGGTTACTTGCTATTTTGAAGGCAAAAACCTAGAGAAATGAGCTGGCAGACTGGGGCCAGCCCACCCTGACAGTGCTCAACTTTAAGCATGAAGATAGGCACGATTCACACACACAAAGATACTTCTGGCCCCGTTTTCTGAGTGATTGCCTCGACCACCTTAATAAAAGCACAGGGCAGTAATGCAGCTTTGTGCTCCCACAGTGGCCGAGAAGCAAAAGACTCTGCAGCTACCCCTTACAAGAAGCAGAGAATATTTCCCTCCTCTTTTGAGGTGAGCAGAAATCTTTGTGATCACACAAATAATCAGTGGCAGAGCTGGAGAGAGGACTCTGGAATCCCTAAGCACCTGGCATGGCACTGCTATCACTCTGCCCCCAGCAGAGCAACATTTCATCCCACCTTCCCCTACCAAAAGAAAATTACAACAACAATAACAAATAAAAATGCCATAAACTTAACTGATATTTTATTGAAACTTAACAAACCCGGCCATAAAATTGAGACTGGGAGGGAGGAAATAAAAATAAACAAACAGCCACAAACTCTAGTTCTGAAGAGCGACGGTGTCTTGGAAATCATGAGGAGCGCTGGAAATGTCACTTACAAGATATACACTGCTATTGGCAAGGGGTGTTTTTACAATATATGTGCATATCTAAACGGTAAATATGTCTTGCTGCTGATGTGGATGCAGAGATAAATATGCGCATACCAATGGCCCTGCACGTATGGATGCATTTGGATCAGAGCTGTAATTGCAGAGCCCTCTGCACTGCCACGCTGCTGCTTCAGCACTCGCTGTCTGTGCACCCACCACGCCCAAAATCACAGTGCCCCAAAGTCTGAGACCCAGCTAAGAGGGGACCCAGCTGGGAGAGGGGGCAGCACTGGGAAGAGCCCTGAAAATTTAGACTCGGATATCCTCCAGACAGATAAGATCCAGGAATACGAGTCAAGTCCTTCATGAGGAGGCCTCATTGTAAATCTAACCTGTCTCTCTGAAAGGCTCTTTTCCTGAATGGGTGGTTGTAATTTGGTCTGGAATTCCTCAGGAATTGAGAGGTTGTGAATGAGAGAAGCTCATCTTTGAGCCCGTGAGCCCCGGAGGAAAGCACTCTGATGTTGGTGTGGAAGTCCCTGGAATTTTTGTGGGTAGATAAAAAAACCTATCAGAAAAGCCATGGTTGCAGCAGTGTGGGAGAGTGTTTAATCTTCAGCATCCAGACATCTTTTTAACACCAAGACTCATCCCCACTATTCTTGGTGTTGAGTTTCTATCAGCACCAGCTTTAGAAAGAGTGCTGGAAATGTGTGAGCAAACTCTGGCAGTCAAGTCTTGCTCTGGGTGGAAGCCTAAATCCAAACAATGCCTTCTAAGAGATTTCTTCCACATCTAACACCTCTGATGAGCAAAGCCCACCTCAATTTTGCCTCCATTTCAAAAATCTTCACAAACTTGACTGCTGGTATTTCTTACACCACTTTTCCAGCTCTTCAGAGAGCTTCTTCTCCAACTTCTCTGATGTCTTCTGTGCTCTGACTGTCTCAACTTCCACCTCCAGTTCTCCAGGACCTCTAGTTTTCTCTAAAGTATCTTGACAATTCAAATGGTACCACGAATAAACAAACAGGGTAATGGTGTTCACTGGAGCTGAAATCAAGCCATCCTCATCTGCTGCCTCATTCCACCTACCACCACCAAGAGAGATCCAACTGAACCTCTGAAGTGACTTTGGTCATGTCTACAAGATTCCTAGCTGAAGTCAACAGCAATGACACACATGCATTGAGAACACAAGATTTATGCCTCCTCTGACTTTTTGTGGTGTCTCTACGTGGCAAAAAATGAGGGAAGAATGTGGTGATGGACTGTGTAACTCCTTAGCTGGACAAAGCCACAGTGCAGGTCCAAAATCCAGGGATGATCCAGCAGGACATTTGTTCTTTTTCACTTGCCAAACATTGAGGACAGTGAAGGCATGACCAGAACAGTCTCTGCTGAAGCAGAGTCCTCTCCATTGGTGTGTTCTGGACACAAATTGAGGAAGGCAGAGAAGACACTTATGCCTGATGAAGTACATTTCCAGGCAGCAGCTTCACAAGAAAATTTTTACAAAGCAAAAAAGGAAGAGCAGGTAAAGAAAAACAGCTCAGGACAATTCTGGCCGCTCTGCATTCAAGATTTCACTGGATGCCATCACCTGTGCATGGCCCTTGAGGATTCTAGCTGGCAAAAGGCTCTGCCCACATAAAACAGCTTTCATTTGCCATGTGGTTTTTGTGCTGAGGTTGTCCAGGAAATCAAAGTGAGGACGGGGAGTTGTTAGCCCAAATGAGCCAGACTTCTCAGCTTATTTGAACATCTGGCCGATAAAGCCCAACCGCGCGTACTCCGGATGAAAAGGTGTTTGACATTCAGGCCTGGGTGACTGAGGATGGGGGACCCTGCTCTCAACCTGCCAGATGGCCAGACAGATGCAATCCTTGCCCTTGTCAATGTGTGGCCAATCTCTTTGACTGACTGTAGCCATTCACCAATCTCCAGTAACATGGGCATCAATGAGAGAACAGATGGGCCTGCGTGGCCACAGCAGAAATGAATTTAGCTCCTGTCCCAGGTCCCACTGCATCCAGTTCCACCTCCTCTTCCAACATCACGGCCCTCCAGGGACTGCACTGCTGGTCACCTCTTTCTCATGACCTCCCTCTGCTTACTTTCTTTCCACATGCTCTATAATGTATTTAAACCAACAAGTCCTACACATTCCCAGAAAGTCCTATCTTTGTTCAGGCTACTTCCTCACCAAAGTCTCAGCCAATGATCTGGGAACAGAAAGAAATCCATGGTGTAAAAGGAGAGGCATTGGCCATCTTAGTTCTTCACCTCTTCCTCAGCTTCCATGATCCTCCATGGAGAATTCAGCACATCTGATGGCTCATGGTCCTGGACACAATTGTCCCAATCTTTCTCACACAGGTATTTCAGACCTAGCATGTGCAGGTTTGCTTCTTGCTGCTAGGACCTACAGGACAACTGAAGCAGGGGAGATCACACAATGTCCTCAGGACATGTCTTTGTCCCAGAATGTGACCATGCAGGGATGCTCGACTGAGCTGTTACATCTGTGTGGTTCAGCTGGGAGGATCTCAACTGTCAGGAGATAAAAATCCCACACAATTCCAGCTGTCTTCTCAGGAGAGGATCGACAAGGACACCCAAACCCATCACCTCTGCAAGCTGACCAAGAGCAACAGGGGCTTCCCTGCTGCTCTGCCACTGTTGCAGCATTACAGGCAGGGTGTGGGACCTGGGCCAGGTGAGGAACACTTTATTTCTAAGCAGAAGAAGGATCTCTGTGGCCTGCAAGCTCCCCTCGCACTGCTTTAGCACCGCTGACACTTCAGGCACGCGAAAAGAGGTCAATGACTCCAGACTGCAGACAAGTGAGCCACAAAGAGGACCCAGGAGCTCAAGTTTTCCCTGTTAATAACAGGACTGTTTGTCCTTTCTTGAAAGTGCAGTGTTATCCAGGGATTATCTCAGCTGTTTACTGCAGGGCACTGGCCAATTTATCTCTGAAACAACCGCGTTACTGCCCGTGGGGAAGGCGAGGAAACAGCCCTGCTCTGGAGCACTACTTAACAGGTCAGGCACTGAGGAAATGCTTATTCTCCTATGTGCAGCCCAGATCCTAACCCACTCAGGCAATCTGAAGCTGTTCCCATGCTATTCCAGACCTTTGGATCTGACTCCAGCTGAAGAAAGAGGAAAAGAAGGAAAGCTGCATCTCTTTGGTCCAGACTGATGTGGGCTGCAGGACAGCATCACAGGCAGCAGGCCTCTCCCTCCACACACACAATTCTGCCCTCTCCAGTAGAATTCCCTCCAGTCTCTTCTACAGGGGGTGTTAACACCAGGAAAGCCCACCTGAGCAAGTGTTTTGTGTGAGTTCTTTGGAAAGAATGACACTTTTGAAAATGCAGTTAAATCTTCATCAGTTGAGAGAACGGGAGGGGAACAAAAATCCCCAAACCAAAAAGAATCAAACAAAACTCCATCAAACTGTCTCTGCAGAGCTCTGCTGCATTCACCTAAGCCCTCAGAGCACCTGAGCCAGAGCAAACACACCTGGGTGAAGAAGAGGTGGGAGAGACTGTCCTGGCCAGAGACCCATGTCACTGCTTCCTCCCTTTGTTTGACCCCTGGCTCTCAAATCCTCCAGAGCCAGGGGTGTTTCTGGAGTGTCATTCCTCTGATACCTACAGAAGCAGGGTTGTGCTCACTACAGAAGCATGTCCTGATGGCAGCCAGCATCTGCATGGCCTGTGTGACATCCTGCTGCCCACCATCCTCTTTGCTCCCTTCCTGCCTCTCTGATAACACCAAGCATCACATCCCCAGGGAAGGGCACCGTGAGCAAACACTCAGCTCAAAGGCTCAAGGGTGGCACATTCCCACTTTCCCTCCCGCCCCTAAAAAGAAAACAGGCACATAGATATTTGCATGGATTACAAAGTGTATGGCACCCATGAAGTTATTTTTTTCCCCCCTCTCCCTGTAAACAAATCCCAATTTTCCATTGCTCTTGGATCCGCATCCCCTGATTGTTTTTGGGTTGGCCAACCTTGCAGCAGGCACCAAGCATGAACTGAGCATCGTTCTCTAGCAGAGGAGTTGAAATCTGGACAAAGTGCTCTGTGCCTTTGATTCTCAAAACAAACACATGGAAACCACAGCAAATGGGAAGGAAGAGGGGAAAGGGAAGGGAATGACCCATGAATTTCTCTGGATTGCACTGACACAAAGGGAAAATAAAATTCACACAGAGCACACTCTTGCAGGTGATCCAGACACTGTCATGTAAGCAATCAAAGAGATAACCACAACGGAAAGAAAATCAAAGGATAAAAATTTACCCAAAACAACCCCCAAAATGGCATGAGCCAGGACATCTCAGAAATGCTGGGGTTTGTCCATTAGGATCACTCATGCTCTCAGCCCCAGTGAAATAAAATCATTACACAATAACTTTTCTATTACTTGGTTTTTTTCTCCCCCACAAAGTGCAAGCAATCCCAGCCATGGTTTGTGGACCACTCTTCTGGTTTTGTGTTTACCATCCATGCATATGACCCCCACCACAGCACCACCAGTCACAAGGTATGATCACATCCTTTTTTTCCAACAAAAAACAGAACAGGGAAGGGGGAAAGGGATAAAAAGGAGAAAATAGGTAGGAAAAAAGCAAAGAAAATAAAGTCACCCACCCCCTCAAAAACCCACCAAACCCATTTCCCTTTTTTTTTTTTAAGACCACAAAAATGAGCAAACCAGACCCAGAGAATAAAAGCTGAAATGACCAAAAGGAGAAAACAAGAGAGAGACTAGAGGGAGAGGGGAGAACAGACAAAAAACCGAACACTGACAACCCAAAATAAAAGAAAAATAAAAACTAACCAGCTGAATTGGGAGTTGAGGGTGAGTTAGCCTGGCTTCCATGGGCTGACACGTTGGTAGCCGTGACAGCTGTTTTGGCAGCATAAATATTGGCTTCCTCTTGAAATTTACCTATGTTCTTCTTGTACCGGATTCTCTTATTTCCAAACCAGTTTGATACCTAGAGCAAGTTCAAGAGGAGACAAGCACAAGTTAAGGTTTCAGCTCTGCCACGTGCACCTGGGTGAGGAAGGTGGATTAGTTCAGGTTAAGCAGTGCAGATTCCTTTCCCCCCTCAGTTTTCCTAGCACCTTTCACCCGTGTGTGCCACACCAAGCCCAGGAAAGGGGGTGGGAGCCCCTTGGGAGCACTGGGTTTGGGTGGGTGCAGCTGGTTCTGCTACAGATGGGATATTCCACAGGAACCCATAGACCCATCCCACAAAAACCTTAAGATGGATTCAGAAAAACATGACAAAGTCAAATGACACCAAAGTTGCACAATTTGAGAACAGGTGTGTGTCATTTTTATTTGCCTCCTCTGCAGTATCCCTTTTGATGGGACAGATGCCCTGAGTGATCAGAGAATTTACTTGGGCCTGGCTGACACACAGAATTGCCTCAGTATCAGCAAAGCTCTCTTTTGGTCCATCTGAGGGAATCAGGGCACAAAGCCAGAAGTGGATGCTCCTTGTCCAACTGAGCTTGGCTTTGCAAGGTTTAGCATGAGCCACTGCATGAATCAGGAACTTCAGGGGAAGGATGGAGAGGAAGCACAGGACTTGTCCTAAAACCTAACTTCGGTCCCAGGAAAGAAGTGTGTGCTTTGAGAAAGGGTGGAAGATGTTTCTACTGTTTGCCCAGAGATAAACTGATGATATTCCTGTTCACTTGTGGGCACTATCTCACACTGAACTATTTCACAGAAGACATGGGAAAGATTCAACCCCACAGCTTGAGAAGCAGCTCTCAGCTTCTCCTTCATCATCACTGAACACAGGAATCAGGGTAATGTCTTCCTATGTGCAGGTCTCTAGGCAGAAGACAACTTCCAGCCACTACTGACTCTGTTTGAGAGAGCTTATCAGGATGAAGGGAATGGGCAAATGAGGAGGATGCTGCAGCTCTCCAGAAAAGTTCCAGCACTCCTAGGACTGCTTGGAGCTGCAATCTTGAGCTAGCAAGACCAACCCCTTCAATGAGATTCCAAGGACAATCTCCCTTTGCTTGCTGGTGAGCAAGTACATCAGTGCTCCCTCTTCCAAATAAAGTGAGCAAGAGCCAAAGACAAATAAGAAATTAATGGATGTTCATCCTTTGAAGCCCATGATTTCTTCCTAATCTTAGGGAAAGCTTGCCTTGTGTTGATAACTGAAACCCATAAGCTTTTATTCCTGTGCTGCTTTCTATCTGCAGTGCTTATTAGAGCATCCAACAGCTTCCACACAGAAGTGGCTCCATCCACCAATTTAATGGCTACTGAGCTACAGGTGTCCAACCCTGCAGAGCAGCAAACAGAAAATATAACCTGCAGAGACTCAGATCAGCACCCAGCCCAGATCTGGGAGAAACATTTTGATGGCAACACCAGGAGCTGGTGCTGTTGGCAAGGAGCTCCATTCCACCTCTTGGTGCAGCTTTCTCACTAATGACAATGTGCTCCTTCATGATCTTTCCACATGGACATCTCCTCATGACTGCTCTTCTGGCTTCCCATCCTGGGTGAACTCTGAGCACCTCAGGGCAGGAGGCTGGAATACCCAGCCACCACAACCTATCTGCATTTTAAAATCTGTGAAGCACCTGCCTAATCTGATCAGACTCTGAGTTCAGATCAACTCTGCTCAGGATGTGCACACATTCATGGGACCTGTGTTCCCACTGAGTCTCAGCAAAACCAGACCTGGAGGTGTGTTTGTTTCTGCCTGATTTGGATGAAGAAGGGAGGCAGATCCTGGAGACAGGCACAAAGCAGCCTTGATACACCACACTAAACCACCTCCTAAGTGCAGCCCTTCTCCTGGGCATTTTGTCTTTGCAAAGGAGAAGTTGTAAGTGTGAACAGACGAATTAGAAGTGAGAGGGGAAGCACTGGGACAGCTGGAGCTTTTCTTAAACCAATATGTGCTGTCTCCTGTTGGTAACTCTAGGAAGAAGCAACGTTTGGGTCTTCCAGCCCAGGAGAGGCAACTGGAGTCACTCAGCAGGCACTCAGCACGGTGATGACACCTTCCCCTGGATGCTGCTGCTCCTGCTGAAGGCAGACACGCTCCCACAAGGACACCAGATGCTCCTGCTGTCTGCAGTTTACTCAAGTGACGAGCAGGCACGTGCCTGGGGCTGGGAAGCAGCCCAAGGCAGGGAATGCCATGGGAGCCTAGAGGGGCTGCTCAGCTCACGTGAGGACAAGCCTACCACAAAGACTGCCTCTCAATCACACAGCCTGCTCCAAAAAGAGAGGAAATAAAGAAGGGCAGGCCTCAGCAATGTATGGCTGAATGTTTCAAGGGCTGGCTGTGCTCCTCACAAATCACAGCAGCTCCCAGGTCAAAGCTACAGGCTCCAGGAACTTTGTGGCTTCCTTGAACATATGGAAATAATTCATTTTGTCGTTGCTAACCCCCATGTTCTGAGGGGTGTGCAAGTCAGGGAGATGTCATGTTCTGCAGCACAAGGGTAATGACTGAGAGAAGGACCCTGAGAAATCCCACCCTCACTGAGCACAAACTGTAACTGGTGCACCCAGGTCTTGCCCACCTGGACTTGTCCATTCTATCTTACCAAGCAAAACCTGCACAACTCTTTCTACTGCTTTTAATCCCTTGAAGAAAGGACTTTCAGATCAAACAAGCTCTTCTTGCAGGCCAGACCAGCACTAATTCCTTGAGGAGACTCTGCCCCTCTGGGTGCTGCCACATCATTTCAGTGTTGTCAACACCTTGGCTGCACACACAGCTCCATGGAGCCCTCATACCTCCTAAATCCACCCTCAGACTTCCCTTTTCCATCCATAGTTTCAATCTGCAAGCACCATCTGCACTCCCACCCACTCTCACTAACCTGCACTAAACAGATTTAATAATTAAATGCTCAGCACTGGACGTGGCTGACTGGTCTGAGGTCTGGAATACCCTTCCCCATGCTGAGGTTTCCCACAGGTCCAGGCTTTGAGCTGTCTTACCTGTGAGACTGTGATGCCACATTTCTTGGCTAGCTCTTCTTTGGCTTCCTCACTGGGATAAGGGTTGCTGAGATGGGAATAGAAATACTCATTCAGGATTTCCGTGGCTTGCTTGTTGAAGTTTCGTCTCTTCCGCCTTCACGTGAAGAAAGAATGGGAAACAGAAGGAAAAGGAAAGGGAATGAGCACCAGGGATACAAAAATATAATGCCATTTTTGATACTCTTGAGTTTCTCACTTTCCTCCTTCCCCCCTCTGCTTGCATGGAGTGCAAGACTCAGGCCAGGAAGTTTCTGATCTGCCCCTTGCTGGTGACTGCTCTCTCAGCACCTTTCAAAGCAAGCAAGTCTCCATCTCAAATTAATCACTGTATCCTCCAGCTCACAGCAGAGTCTGAAAACTGGCATCCAGCTCCTCCACCTGGGAAGGTGACTCCTGACACCTGGCTGTGGTGACCAAAGACAGTGCTACTCTGCAAAGCTCTGTGCTGAGGAAGCAGGGCTGGATATATCCTTGGGGAAGTCTGTTCCATTCACACCTAGGCATTATTACCTGTCTGCCATCTCTCTCCTTGTACCTGTGGTGCAGCTGCCTCTCCTCCCCATAGCTAGCTACAGCCCAAGCTGCAGTCTGCACCTAACCAGCTTGGGAAATGAAATAATTTTACAGCAATTTGAAAATCTGGGACAATAAAAACAGTGGGAAAAGACTGGGGTTCTAGGGGGGACAGGATGGCCTGGAGGATAAACTTTCATCCCTAACTGAAGTGCACGTTTTCACCACAGAGGCTTGTTGCAATGTGCCACAGGATTTCCTTCTGCCACAGCAAAACAGGGTGTGCAATTCTCAAGGTACAGCTGGGAGCCTCACTGATGGATGTTTTGCATTGCAGTCCCCTCCCCTGCTGAGCCACAGACCACTAAGGGATATAGAATTCCCAGAATGACTGGGTTGGAAGAGACCTTCAAGATCGAGTCCAACCCAGCCCTAACACCTCAACTAAACCCCGGCAAAAAGCAGGCAAAAAACCCCTCTGGCTGCAGACACAGCCCTTCAGCTGTGCCCTCTTTTACTCCAGAACCAAACCCGCCCAAGGAACCTCCCAGACCTCCCACAGTGCAGAAAGGTTTGGAGGGCTGTGGGCTCACCGTGCGTCCAGGAACCGCGAGCGCAGGATCATGACGGCTTCGCACGTGCTCTGCTTCAGCTGCATCTGGATGGAGCTGAACTTGCGGTGGATGATGCTCACCATCCGCTCGATCTCCTTGGGCGAGATGGGCCGGGTCCGGCTCTGCTCGCGCAGCAGGTTCATCACGTGCGTGGTGAACTCGTTGCACGCCTGGCATGGCAGGAAAAGCAAAAGAAACCCCAGGATGGGAAGGTCATTCGGTGGTGTCGAGGCAGCGTGGCTACGGGGGGAGATGGGAGGGCTGGCCTCGCTGGTGGGGCTTTCCAGAGCAGGCTCAGCGCTGGTGCTCAGGGGATGATGCCTTAGGATTTTAGCTTTTGTGGTTTTCATGTCTTTTGTATTTTTTCATATAGAGTGTTAGTTAACTCTCTTCACGTTTTGGTCAGACGGAACACTTCCTCTAGGCCTGAAACTCAAGGACACCCTCTCTGCCTCAGGCCCCAGAAAGGATAAACAAAAGTGATTTGGGTGGGTAGCAAACTGCAGGTGTCTGACTTCATTACCTGAAGCTGGAATTGGAGAATGAACTCCTGATATGCAAATAGACCAAACTTTTATGTGTCTGAAAAACGCACGATATGGTCCAATTTGGGTGTTGCCCCTCAGTGAGGTTTCACCTGCCCTTCATGTACCTGAAGGCCCTTCAGTAAATATTTTATCCTTTTAACTTTATTTCTAGCTAAGCCTGAAAAAGGCATCAGGGAGAAAGTTCCCTGCTCTGCCAAGCTCAGGGTGTGAGAGACTCAAGGCAAACATGCAGGGAAAGACAGGAGCCCATTTCTTTACTCTCAGGGAGATCATGGATGGAGCTGGGGCAGATGAAGCCCTAGCATTCATGAAAAGCATGAACAAGTCCCAGCCACTGTTCTCCTGGCGGTGACTGGAGGAGCTATGGATTTATCTGAGGAGGACCATGAACCTTCTGACCCACTGCCCCTCCTCCTGCAGCCCCACCGTGTGTCCTGCTGAGCCCCTTGTGCTTCACAGGAGCAGCTCCCAGGGAGACAGGGCCCTGCTCCCTGCTCTTGGCACATCAGGTAAGGAGTAAATAAGGATAATAATTAAAGCCTGAGTGAGGCAGGAGCCCTGACAAGTAAGGGCAAGCAGGTAACAATCCCAATTAGTCTGCTGCTGGCACAGCACTGTCTGCCTGCTCCTGCTGTCCCCATGCTGTGCCCTGAGGACAGGACAGAGAGAGGAGCCAGGGGACAAGGGGGGATTTTGAAGCCAGATCAAGGCCACTTCACTTCCCTCTCCTCATCCCCATGAGCACCTCACTGGCATGATGGGATCCTCTGATTCCCAGAACCAAGCCCCAAAAACCAGTGGACAGTGATGGCTGGAGAAGCCTCAGGTGCTCCTGGGATGTGGGTGGCTGCTCTGGGGACAGTGTCTGCAGCTCACTGCCATGATGGGGAAAAAGGGGCTGTCAGCGGAGAGAAACACTGGATTTGTGGACTGGTGATGGGCTTGACTTGCTTGTCTTAGCCCACCATTCCAAGCTGAATTCCCACCATGGCTCAGACCCAACAAGGAGACATCCCCAAGGCCAGCTCCAGCTGCTGACTCCCATCTCCCAGGAGGAGTGCTGGCTATCAGAGCTCTCAGCTGGGCATCTCACTGCTCCCAGACACCCCAGCACTTTCAGATCATCTCCTCTTGGCACGAAATAAAGAGCATTAAAGGCAGAATCACCACGGATTGCTGTGCTGACCCAGCAGCAGCCAGACTGAGAAGCCAGGGGCTGAGCTCCCAACAGCTGGACTGGACAGAGTGGCAAGGAGGTGGAAAAACCCTGAGCCCTGGACTGTGGGTCATGGTACCAGAGATGCTACCAGAGATGGTGGACCAGCAGAGCCACTTGCAAAGCCACTCAGTGGCAAAACCAAACCCTGTCAGTGAGTTGTGAGAAGGAAAGATGTGGCCCATCCCACCCTCTGGGCCTGGCTAAAGGCTTCTCTCGCCTGGGTGTCTCTTCGAGGAGCAAAAGCAAAGCAAAAACAGAATTAGAACATCAAACAAACAGAACTCCTGCCCAAGGGGAGGAAGAAGCAGGAGGTCCTTCCCTGAAGCCTGTCCCTGTCTGTGCCAAGGGCTTCTCCTTGGACTTGGGTAGCAGAGGCCACGAGGTCTCTCTACCCAAAGATGATCCCTGAGGTGCTCTCCACTCCCACCCGTGTGGGATGGCTGAGGCTCCTCCCTGTGCCTCAAGGGAGTGACAGCAAGGGCTGAGGAGAGCCACCAAAGGTCATCCTTCCAGCCAGCCCTCAGGCTCTGCCAAAATGCCTCTCATGGCACGACTGTGCTTGGCTGCTCCATTACCAGAGCCCTGCCTGGCCACCCTGACTCCAGTCTGACCCTTCCCTCAGCCTGGCCAGCGTGGCCATGGGGATGAGACATCCCCCAGCCCCACCACACATCCTGTTAGCCAGGTAAACTGGAGGCTTGCACTGGATCTAAACCAGAGATCTGAAAGCCCACCTGGGCCCTGGCAGTGGAGCTTGTTCTGCACCCAAAAAGTGGGAGCCTTCTTGTTCATATCCCTGAACCATAACCTTGGGGTAGAAACCACACGGGCAAGGTGCACAGCGGCCAAGAGAGGTCTGCAAAACATCTGGAAGCACTTGAAAGCAATTGGTTTTGAGCACTGACCTGCAAAGCTCTTCATGAAATTGTCAGTGTTACCAATAGCTGTGTTCATAACCCAAGTAGTTTTTCTTTTTTAGGAGTAATTTATTACTAGAAAAAAGATATTTTTTTTCCCTGGAAAGAGAGCTTTTCAAGGAGAAAATACATTCAAGGAAGATTCTGATTCAAGTCCTGCTTGGACAGTTGTCATCACTGAGGCCAGCATATCAGAGAGGCCTTTTCCTTCATAGGGCCAATTCTGGGTAAGATATCAGGGGAGGAGTGAAAAGTGAAAATCCAAAGGGCAACCCATACTGTGGCCACAGCTCCCTTCACAGAGAGCAGTAGGCACAACTTCCCAAGGATTTTTCCTGGGGAAGGCAGTGGGACCCTCAGAGAAGAGAAAACAATTCTTTCTCTATTCACTACTCCTGTTGTTTGGCACATGTGGAATGTGTTATGGAGATTGTTTGCCCAAAGTGATTTGTTAACTGGACACTGGTGAAAGTTGTTTTTATTCCTTGGCCGATTGGGTCAAAACTGTGTCCTGGCTGCCTGCAGACAGTCATGGGTTTTTCTTCAGTATCTCTTTAGTATGGTATAGCATCTCTTTAGTATGTAATATAGTATAGTATTAGTGTAGTACAGTACAGATTAATAAAGCAATTGTTTAGCTTTCTGAATCATGGAGTCTGAGCACATTATTCCCTACACTGGGGTCGCCCTGCATCGATACCCATAACCCCCACACCACATCCCAGCATAAAAACCCAACCCTACAAAAGCACGTTCTCACTCCAGCACCCAGATCCCACACACTCCTAACAACAGCTGTCAGCAGCGATCCAGGCTGTGCGGATCCACGCTCTGCTCCCACCAGCAGCAGCCCCCCAGCACGAAGGAGCCTGTTACCTGCTCGTACTTCTCCAGCTCCGTGTGGTAGATCTGCCTGATCTGGGACAGCTTGGCTCTGTAGTCCGAGTGCTCCACCGAGTTGTCGGAGCCGGCTCCTCCGGACGCGGCGGCGGCGGCGGCAGCGGCGGCCGAGCCCCCTCCTTTCTCGGGGCCCGCCACCCCCTCTGCCAGCAGCATGTTGTCTAACCTCATCAGCTGCGGGTCCGTGGGCTCCTCCTCCTGTGCCCCCCGGATGCTCAGCACTGCAGGAGACACAATGGGGAGAGGAGAGTCACACCTGGGTTTTAATTCGGGGAAGCTCGTCCCAAGTTGGACTGACCCCGTCTGTAAGAGCCGTAATGAGAGGTGTGGGACTCCAGGCAGCTCTTCCAAATGCAGTTTATTACATGCAAGATGTTAGAGCAGTCCAGGGTCGTGGGCGACAGATCCTGTGCCTACAGCTGTCAGCTGCATCTGCAGGCAGGCCTGGAGACCCTTAGTTTAGGTTACAAATGCATTATATACTTTTCTTTGCTGAGCATCTTAATACAGTAGAACCAATCTATACCTTAACTTTTATCTATAGCCTATCATAACTAATACAATTACCATATTCATGTTAGTATTCTCCAATCACTAAATGTTAGTACATTACAGTTTAAGCTAGAAGTTGTTTTTCAGTTTTCTTGCAGTGGAAAATTCTGAGACCTTTTTTCTACTTGCAACATTTGCTGACTTGTTTGCCTGTGCTATCTTTCTGCTTGGTAAAAACATCTCTTTTTTGAGGTGGGTTTATCCCTTGTTCTGAGTCATAAAAACCCCCTTCTAACTAACATACCCTTTGCCTCCTTGGTTATCCAGTAAGACTGGCTCAGCAATTCTTTTCTTCTATATCAAAACTTGCTTCCATCTCTATTCCTTCCTCAGCTTCTACATTCAAAAATCTTTCTGCTAAGCATACATATCTGTGAGACTTTCTTGTCAAACTTTCATCCTTCCCAACACCCGTCAGCAGAGGTTTTGTCCCTTCCCAACAGGCTCCCCAACAGGCATCCTGATGCTGCAAGTACTCAGCACCAAGCTTGGCTTCACTCGTCACTGCTTGGCACTCCAGCTCCCTGCTCCTCTCCCAGCTCCTTCCCCTCCTTCCCGCAGGACATATGTAGGGCAGACCTGGCAGTGAGCTCACCACAGAGCTAGCCCACAAAGCCACACTTTCTGCTCAAACAAGCGGCAGAACTCCTAGCAACAGCAACCAAAAAACCAATAAATGTACCCATGCTTGCTGCCAGAAGAGATAGGGACCATATCCAGACTCAAGCATGAGATGGGAAGTTGGATGGGAAGTCTCTAGCCCTGGTTCCATCTCGCTCAAGGGTCCTCTCATGTCACCCAACATGTCATTTCCATCAACCCCAGATGGCAGAGAAAGACTCACAGAGCCTGGGGCAGCTGTGCCTTGGTTTCCACATCCTGAAATACAGACTGTGGAGAGGGCTTGAAGTCCATGCTTTTAGCCATGCACTGGGAACATGTAAAGAACATGTATAAAATAAATTGTATTCCTGGAAAAATGCCTTTAAGAATCCAGTCATTCTACTGATGCTGAGAAAAGGAGCAATGATGAATTAATTAATCCTCCCAGAGTGATTTTTCAAAAAAAGAATCTTCCTCCCATCTTTGTGCTCCCTGCCTAAATTACTGCTCCAAGTAAAAGTTATCCTGTGAGGTCTTTCCTGGAAAAACAAGCCAACAGCTTGGGATGTCCCATGTCTGAAAAATGGAGGTGCCCTATGTGCTCCCCCCGTGCTCCCCTCCAAGGTCTGTGTTCAAACACGGAATGATAACGTGAGATTTCCACATGTACACACACAGAGCTGCATAAGAAATGACATAAATAAACGAAATCCTTGATGAACGAATTTAAAAAGGCATTTCCTAAGGGAAAACAATCGTGTTTCCCCATCTCATCTGGCACGGGGGCTCTGAGCACACACACCCCACGAGCACACACTCTGTGCACATCCAGAGCTGGGAAATGCTGTGTGGATTTTGATAAAGCCATGCCTGCTGACAACTGAGATGAATCTGACCCCCTCCCAATCCATGGCACAAACAAGAGCAAGTGATTATTCCTGTCATTTAAAATAAAAAAGTAGGGGAAGATCTGTTAGCAACAAGAAATAAAATCACAGCAGCTAAAAAACCCCAGCAACCACGGGGTATGGTCTTCCTACTCTGCAATAAGTTAAAGATACAGCTATTATCAGTATAAAATTGAAGTAAAAAGACCCTGTTGAGAGGTTTGGTTAAGACTAAAAAGAGCTTTTCTAAAAAGCCTCAAAACCTACTGAAATTACTATTTTCAGGACATTTCATTCATTCGTTTAATTTTATTTTATTCATACATTTGGATCAGTTACTCATTCATGCATTTATTGGCATTTTTTTGTGATTAAAATATGCACTGTCAACAAAGGTAGGAAGGTGGGCAGAAAAAAACCCCAAGAACAGTAAAACGGGAACTAAAAATAAATAATTCCACGCTAGGGAGGATAATTTCTACATGGAGGAATGAGGGCAGAGTGCCAAATTTGAAGCTGAGCCCTCAGGAGACAGGACCAGCATCTCCCCCCACCACGGGAGGCTTCCCATGGCACCCAGCCATGATAAATAGATCCTAGGGAAGAGGACAGATTTCATCAAGAAAATGGTTCGGGGTCTATGGTCCATAAACTGAAATATGAGGCAAAAGTAACCAAATCCCTTAAAAAGAGAAGAGGAAAGTTGACAGGATGCAGCAGGGAGAGAGACTTGTCATGAAAATAAAGTGAATAAATTCTTATTCTTCCAGGACAAAAAAAAAAAAAAAATCAGTCAATTAAAGCACATCAAAAGCCCAAATACAAAAGGAAAGCAACACAGGTTAAAAATAAGAAAAATATTAAAAAACACCTCAAATAAACAAATCAAAAGCGGAGTTGCCAAAACAGGCACATCTGGATTTCAAAAGGGAAATATTTTTAGATTAAAAATCTCAGGAATCATTGACCTGACAGGTAGGCACGAGTGATTAATTAGTTTATGTTTAGAGAGCTGCTTTCTGATGAAAAGTGCTGCGTGTTCCTGGGAGCTTTATTCCTGTGCCACCAGCACCCAGTGGAGGGGATGTGTCCCCCACAGCAGAGACCTGAACCCAGCCTGGGCTTGGCTGCTCACTCACAATAAAGCCAAGGAGTAAATAAATGGAAAGGCCAATGTGTCTGAGCAGGACTGATGCTGCTTATTTATCCCTGAAAGGCTGTGCTCAGCCGAGGAGAAGACAAAATGATTATTTAAAAGCTCCTTTTTTATCTTCCCAGTGCTGGACCCAGCTCTGACACACCTCCTGCCAGGATGCCTGGGATGTTGGGCTCCTTGGAAGCTCCCACCCTCTCTGTGATGGGATGAGGAGTTTGGGATGGGTTTGGCAGCACCCAATCTGCAGTGCCCAGGCAGCTGGTGGCAAAAGAACCCTGCTCCCCCACCAAATTAAAACAGAACAAATGAAGCAGAATGGTCCTCAGTGGTCCAAGGGGCACCAGGCATGTAGGCACCCAGGCATTCTCAGGACCCCCATTTCCTGCTCCTGATTAAAGAAAGAAGGGAAAAAAGGAATAACAAAAAGAAATACAGCGATTGGCAGCCGGGGGGGAGGAGAATTCCTGCAAGACTTTCTGTCCTTGGCTGATTTCCTGCTGGCTTGGCAGCCTCTGGAGCTGTGGTGCTTGCCACTAGATGGTGCTCAGCCCTCACCCAGGTCCCCTGCTAATCAAAATGCCTTTTTAGATGTAAATATATACACACAACAGCAACAAAAAAAAATTTAAAAAAATCTATATGTATATATACACATAGATATATGTGCTTTTTATATATACATATGTATATGTATATGTATATGTATATGTATATGTATATGTATATGTATATGTATATGTATATGGGTGTGTTTTAAAAGCAAACCCAAGGCATGTGCCCTGTCCCCTCAGCTGGAATGTGGCTGTCACAGGGTCACCATCCCTGGTGGCAGCAGCAGGAGCACCTGGGGACCATGGGGCCACCAGCCTGCAGTCCATGCATGGTCACCACCAGGGTCACAGAGACCCATTCCAGCAGCTGGAAAATGGCTCCCAGCTCCCACACTTGCTCCTTCTCCCCTCTCGAGGAAGGGATCACAGCCAAGGGTTCAGAGGACATCCCTGGGCTGGCTCTGTGGCGTGGCTGCAGTGCAGGACACGGGAAGTGGTGGCAGGATTGACCTCAGAGAAGCAGGTGAGAAGACAAAGCCAAAAGCAGCTCCCTGGCTCCGTGCCTGCCCTGGGATTCAGTGACACAGGATGGAAGGTGCCTTGAGCCACCAAAGCTTCCAGATGCTCCAAGGTGCTTCCCACAAGATCTCCAAGGAGCACCTGCAAAGCTGCTAGCTCCATGCTCATGTGAGATGAGCAGCCAGCACCCCACATGTCCCCACATCTGTGCCTGGTGTCCCCTCAGGTCATGCAAGCTGAGGCACAGCCAGGGCAGGAGAAAGAGCACTTGCCAGACACCTTTGGAACAGACACCACTCTGGGGATGGCCTGGGGCTGTGAAGACACCTAAGAAACCCACAAAGGAGGGCACCACTTTTCTGGTATCCATGCCACCATCCCCTACCTTATTTATTCCATTTTTCTGGAGCATTTTTCCAGAGGAATCTGAAAAGCACAGGAGCTGAGCACACAGTCATCTCTTTTCTCCAAGGCCACGCCAAAACACTTCCACTTAGCAACTCTTTCCTCTCCACCCCTTCCAAACCCTCCAAATTAGAGGTGTGCAGGCAAGAGAAGCAGAACATCACAAAGGCAATCAAACATGCTGGGGGTGATGGCAGAAGCTAAGCAGGAGACTGTGGCGTAGCAGTGACAACAGCAAAGGACCTTCCAGCTCCATCTTTCTTCTAGAAAGGGCAATTTATCCTGGTGGTCAGTGTCTTCAAGCTGAGGAGATGTGGCAAGCAGGGCCAGACTCCATACAGTGGTGGTGAGACATGATGCCAACCCAGGTTGTGACGGTGAAGGAATCACTCCCCCAGAGCCAGCACGGTTCTCTGCTGACTTCAGCAGTCAAAAGCACATTCCTGCAGAATTTCTGTGACTGCCTGGTTAAGATTCCCTCTGACCTCATCACTATCTACAGCTCCTGAAAGGTGCCTGTGCTCAGCTGGCGCTGGGCTCTTTCTCCA